TTATAAGATGGTTTACAACACAAGAAACCGTGATGAGTTGAAAGTTTACATCGGTAGTGTATCACCTTGTAATTGATATCTTCACTTTCATTCCTACCTAGGGCGTATCCGTGCTTTATGTATTTTTTATTGGCCTTTAGGTTTGTATTGAATGTTGTAGATAGATAATAGTTCGTAAAATACAGAGCTACATAGTTGTGAATACAAACAGTTTAACATAGTTACTGGATTATATTTTTCTCCCATAAATCATCGGGGACGTATAATTTAGACTGTATATTTCCTGGTGTTTTTCTTAACAGTTAACATTCTTACTTCTAAGTTAATATGGGTTCTCCATCATTTCACTTGGCACATATATATGCGCTCTTTTCACCTTGATTAATAGTAAAATAAATATCGACACACTATCGTTGACATCTTATAAATTGATATATGAAGTGACAAGCACATCGCAGCTAATTGTAAATCTGACATTAACATACACCATCATTTAGATATCGGTTGTTAATTAGTATAGGAGCCTAATTACACAGGTTGTTGATAGATGTCGATGCGTATCTGTGATTGTTGATAAGACGGGTCAAACCGTGGTGTCAAGAGTCGCTAGGCGAGTGACATTTACATGTGCTCAGACAGGATACGGACCTGTTATATTGTATGTAAAGATAGGCCTCTTATCACCTCGAGTCAAGTTACTGGTTATTGTTTACATGTACAATCGTGTACAAATACCTATATACACATGTACAATACCTATACATACACGTATATCTACAATACCTGGTTAGTATTAACACTGTAGAAACAGACAGAGAGATGGGTGGGACGTGACTGTGTGCTGGGGACATGCTAGGTTGACGATGCCGCCCCAGAACCAGACGGGATCTGTGTCGAACTCGATAGCCCGGGGTAGACTCCAGTAACTGGTCCACTGGGCCAGCTTACACCGCTACACACACCACTTGACAGATACGTTCCCACGCTCTTAGCTTGTGAATAAAACTTGCATACTTTCAGTATTTGGCCTGCGGCCAACCAATGAGAACGCTTCTCTCGCACACGTTACGGTTGTAGCTCTAACATACACACTACTTAGTTCACTTCATGTAGCTAAATACCTCAGAGCCAGTCTGAATGTATCTACTGGCCAAGGATGAACAGAACACAAATGCCGGGCTCTCAAGCTTCCTTCCAGCGATTCTTTCTTGAAGCGGTACGGAATGGCAACACAGACGAACTTCAAAAAATATTAGAAGCCCGCGATGAAAAGATCAATGTGAATTCATATGACACTGAGGGACAAACGGCCCTCCACCAAAGCTGCATGGACGGCAACCTCAAGCTGGTGAAACTGTTGGTGAAATTCGGGGCTGATACGAAACTGGCGAACAGGGACGGGTGGAATGCCCTGCACATTGCTGCATTCGGGGGCCACCAGGACATAATATTGTATCTTATACGGGCCGCTGGGGCACGCACCCCGCGGTGAGAATGACTGCAACGATTCTCATGAAAATGGTGAATAATGCTGTGATAACTAACATAAGTTTAAACCGCTATCTGTGATCTATCTTACACACCATGCAAAAAACAGGGCACATATTTTACACACATACTGCTGTTAATCGGTAGGGACACGTGTGAAGTGATATATATATATATATGTTACGCACACATACAATGTGCGGGGTTTGTACGTGTGCAGACGGACGACGAATCGGAGCTATACGATTTTGCAGATAAAATAACATGTATCGTTAAACGAAACTGACGGCTGACAAGAGTTGCACTTCATTGCTTGTGTAAATTCCGGATCTTGGAAATTAAAACTCATGGACAGTCCATATGCGATTTTGTAACTTAGTTAGCTTCGGACACTTCCTGTATGTTTTCGGAATTGTCGCGTATTTCCATGGAAACCAATCGGGGTGTTCTCTTCACATTACAGTCAGCATTTCTGATATAATCTTCTACCTCGTCAGTTGTCACAGGGGAGACACACAATAAGCCAATGCTACCTATCACGAGCCCAATATTGTATAGATCTTCAAACTGCTGTGGATTTCAATTTGCATGAGATGCATGAACGAACTGTATCTTTTATAACTACGCCATGTGCGATGGGAGAACGTGTATGACGAAGGCCAGTATGAAGCGACAGGAGGACACATGTGCGGATTTTATTGTTTGAATATCTGTTCTGAGTGCGAGATGTTATGTTCATAGGGCAAATGTAGCGTACGAGGCGTGCTTCTAGTAAACATTTTCCAGTTATTGTTTTATTTCTCTTGTTTTCTTCACTTCACCAAAAAGTGCCAAGCAAGACGTCACATTTGCTCCAGTAGGCTACCATTGGAGCTGTGTAGAACATGAGTGGGGGACGAGCGTCTGTGGTAATACGCCGAGCAGAGTGCACGAATGCATTTTGCAGTTTATATCACTTCCAATATTAGGAGGATCCTGGTGCTATGTGTGAGGAAGACAATCGGGACTGAGTGTGGAGAGCTCCCTGTAAGCGCTATAAACTCACCGTGTTTTATTGTGTGGAGAGCTCCCTGTAAGCGTTACAAACACACCGTGTTTTATTGAGACCAGTTACCACAGGGAACTGTATTGTAGTTTCATCAATGTTTCAAATATTTGATATCAGGAAGTACATATTTTAACCATCAAACTTTCCAAAATGACTTTAACGTAATGAGACATCTTGTTTATTACATTGTTTTATAAACATGTTTTGCCCAATTTTGAATAATCTACTAATACTATTTTGCATCTGATCCACTCACGTTTCAGCAACGTATTATTCTATCTGACATACACATGGGAATGTCGGAGAATGGGTGTATGGGATAGTACATATAATGGCAGGCAAGCTTTGGTTCATCGAGATAAGAACTGACATAACGTGTATCGAGATAACAAAGCTCCTTCGTTATCTTGATAGCAACATGTTTTATTATTTTAAAAAGTATGTATTTTGACCAGGAAACCACAATACGTTTATTATTTGAATCATAAATTTAACTTGATGTCATAGTACCTAGATATATATACAGCTAAATTCAGAACTTTTCTTTCTTACATTTTTTTGGCTAAATTTGGAAAATAGTGTATCATTATTTTCTCCTGTGTATGATTTTGTCGAAATTATCACATTTCAATTTTACAATGGTTAAGAAATTTGAGTTTTATATCCAGGATAATTATTATCTGGTTGGGTCTAGGAACTATGACGTCACACCATGGCCAAGTATTGGATTCCCTAAGGGAGCTTGGATCCCACCCGAGGGGGAGGGCGGTCTTTTGCCATAGCTTATACTCATTGCGGGCGATTGACGGAATATAGAGAGGCCAATTGTCTCCAACTTACCACACAAGCTTCAAAGCCATGCTATTTACTGTTTTATTTGTATGTATGATCTATCCACAGGCACTCGAAATTAGCTTTTGATAATCTGTTTATCGCTATATAGTCGATCCGATATTCCAGAACATGATGTAATGTATGAATTAGCAGACTGTTTTCTTCTATGTTAGATCGACAGTTTATTTTCTTTAAAAAATAATTATCGGAACCTTCTACATTTGATCATATTGATCCTGGGCTGTACCATACATATACTCATTTTATTTTATTTTAAATATAAAAAAAAGGTTTTATATGCATTAAGACAAAACTCAGCTATGGGTTTTTTATACTCGTTTGCACAAAATTCTTTTTTCAAGTCTATGAAAAATATTTTCAGTTACATTCTCGTTTTCTATTGAGCCTTTTGACGGTGTTGGGTCACGTCACTCACTGCAGACCATTATGAGCTGACACGTTAATTTATAATGGCAGTAAAAATATTATATGGCTTATATATTACAGATGGTATCCCTATTACCATTATTAATGATCGTGTACGGCGTGTCTGTCCCTGTGTCCGCGGGTTTGAAGCTATGTAAGTTGGAGATGGGTGGACCATACCCAGTAGATATTTTATCATGTTTCCCTGTTACGCTGTTATTAGATTGTTGTTTTGTTATCTGTACCAATCCTACGATTTATAATGCATCTATACAGCAGACATAAAGTTGATTAAAAATTTAATTTTATATTAAATCATTTGTTTCGTTCCTGACTAATTGCGCTTTTGTTTAAGAGAAATGACTCGGAGTGGGAGATGTACTAATAATGGCTATAAGATTCATCTGATACCTACTCTCATGTGGTAGAATGTTCGTCCGATGTCAATGGTTAGACGATACACAATCAGTGTGAATACTTAATTCTGTGAAAGGACATACAAATTTACACCATCTTTTCTGGTAAATCTACTTGCCCAACATAATATTCAACAAGTAAAAAGAATTTGATTTCTCATACTCAGACTGCGAGAGTATAACTGTTCACAATGATCCTACACTTAGACTGAGTAAATGGTCAAGGGGATTACATTTTCAATATGATTCAATACTCTGTGTAAATGCCCTAACCAATACTCTGATTAGTAAATTTTCAAAATGATTCAGTACTCTGTGTAAATTTGCTCTGAAAGTGTAAATGTTCAATGTGATTCAATACTCTAATAGTGTAAATGTTCAATGTGATTCAATACTTTAATAGTGTAAATGTTCAATGTGATTCAATACCCTGATAGCGTAAATGTTCAATGTGATTCAATACTCTGAAAGTGTAAATGTTCAATATGTTTCAATACTCTGAAAAGTGTAAATGTTCAATGTGATTCAACACTCTATAAGTGTAAATGTTCAATGTGATTCAATGCTCGGAAAGTGTAAATATTCAATGTGATTCAATACTCTAGTAGTGTAAATGTTAAATGTGATTCAATACTATAAAAGTGTAAATGTTCAATGAAATTCAATACTCTAATAGTGTAAATGTTCAATGTGATTCAATACTCTAATAGTGTAAATGTTCAATTTGATTCATTACTCTGAAAGTGTAAATGTTCAATATGTTTCAATACTCTGAAAAGTGTAAATCTTCAATCTGATTCAACACTCTGAAAGTGTAAATGATCAATGTGATTCAACACTCTAAAAGGGTTAATGTTCAATATGATTCAATACTCTGAAAGTGTAAATGTTCAATGTGATTCAATACTCTGAAAGTGGAAATGTTCAATATGATTCAACACTCTTATAGTGTAAATGTTCAATATGATTCAACACTCTTATAGTGTAAATGTTCAATATGATTCAATACTCGGAAAGTGTAAATATTCTATGTGATTCAATACTCTAATAGTGTAAATGTTAAATGTGATTCAACACTATAAAAGTGTAAGTGTTCAATGAAATTCAATGCTCTAATAGTGTAAATATTCTATGTGATTCAATACTTTAATAGTGTAGATGTTAAATTTGATTCAATATTCTAATAGTGTAAATGTTCAATGTGATTCAGTACTCTGACAGTGTAAATGTTCAATGTGATTCAGTACTGTAATAGTGTTAATGTTCAATGTGATTCAATACCCTGATAGTGTAAATGTTCAATGTGATTCAATACCCTGATAGCGTAAAGGTTCAATGTGATTCAATACCCTGATAGTGTAAATGTTCAACGTGATTCAATACTCTGATATTATATAAGTTCAATGTGATTCTAGGCTCTGGTAATGTTAAGATTTATGTGATTTGATATTATAATTGAGATATTGTTCAATAGTTTGACGCGTATGATAGTGCAAACCTCCGGAAACTGGTTTTCTGTTTTGCGTTCGTCATGCCTAATAAAATCTGTTACCTGTAACTGGGCGAGATCGGGTTATCTCAGTCGAGGGTTAAGAGTCTGTAACAAAATCCCAACCGAGGCGTAAGCCTCGGTTGGGATGTTACAGAATCTTAGCCCGAGACTGAGATAACCCGATCTCGCTCAGTTACAGGTAATTGATTATTTTTTCTCGCACTTTTAGGTCGAAAAAAACTATTGAATTTTGCTTAAAACTACAAGTATCCCACCGTTGGCCTCAAATGATAATGACCTCTTCACTACTAAAGCTACATTTGAATGCTTCCGCGTAAAAGCAGTCCTTCCTTACATAGATTTCACAGTGTAGATTATATTTTATCTACAACATTAAATATCTAACAACATCAAAACTATAATTTGCGATAAAACAGAACATTTATAATACAAATTGTCAATTTCAAGCAGTTAACGCGCGGATGAATACATCACAGTGTAAAAATTCCGCGAAATGTCACGTAAAGGTACAAGAGAGATGGGACGAGATAGAAAAATCTAGCATGGGGTATAACGTGGGATATCTCTGTCTGAGGTGCGAGAATCATATATACTATATGCTTGTCTGAAGTTTAGTCGACGCATACTTCTTCCGAAGAAAAACGGATCGTTTTATCCTAATAAGTTTTTGTTTTTTTCAAAACCATGGCTGATTTTGAAGTATATTTACGTCAAAGCCGAAATCAGAAATCAATGACAATTTTAGTTCTCTGGAATATAATTACTAAATAGGAAGGCAATATTTCGTTGTAATGGATTACTGTAATGATTGAAAACACAGTTAGTTTCTTCGAAAAGCTGACACAACGCACGTAGAAATATCTACAAATAAATTTAGAATGGCGGTATAGAAAAAATGGTCACAGTCGTATAATACTTCAGGTCTCCTTACACAAATATCGTGATCTCCTCACGAACACACTAGATGTATTTGATACTATGTAATATCCCCATCCGATACTTCAGTATAGAGTACGTATTGTGTTTAACAATCAGTATTGCAGAAAAATATGTACACTTAGTTATTTAATTTGTACATTTTGAAAAAAAAGAGCTTTAGCGTGTTAATTTCTTTGGAAAATTTACTACCGAAGGGTTCGATAACCATTGTCAATCGCTGTGAAACATTTTTTCTACCGCAATTTTCTAGACCTTATTTAGTAGCCGACATCGTGACAAACGACAGGTAATGACACTTGGAAATTTGGAAAAGGTGATAAGTTTTCTAATTGATACACAAAAGTCGCAAAGCTTCGCTTACAACTCCATAATCAAATTTATATCTCTTCAATTGTCTGGGTATTGTTTGATTTAATCCTTTATAAACATTCATAAATCTTACTACTTTAATCGAAGATTCCATCATGACACTATATTGCAGAGGAATGTACGTTATGTAGGAACACCAACTAAAAGCGCGCCAAACTTTTTACAGCGCTATGTTCGATAGTTCAGGATTTAGCCAATCAAACTGTTGGGAGGTGGTAATCAACTAGTTCATCAACGCCTACGGTTAGGAAACAGCTGTTCCGGGTAAAGGGGAGGCTTGTTAGTAAATAATCAGTGATAATTGTAATGGAACAAAACAATAGCGTGATTGTTCACAGAGTCAAAAGACTGAGGATACAACTAAAACGCCGACTTGAACAGTCTGGTTTTCACACCTTTCATGAAGGCTGTGAGCGTGTTTGAACCACAGTAATCATGCTAGCTGATATAGAGGCCGGGTAACTATCCCCTTTAGATATTGAGGAGATATTTGATATAGTGTTTCTAGTGTAAACAACAGAACCATGTACTCATACATGTTACCAAAATGCAGCGCTTGCTGTCTCTCGAGTTCGGGTAACTAGCCGAACTGTAGTATTCTGAACTCTGAGGACGACTAGTTATACAATTCTGAAGTCTAGGCGAGAAGTTACCAGCAAATGTACCGAGGTTATTCATGGATTTTGATGATTTGCCGAATAATATAACGTTCCTTACTTAGTAGCAATGTGCCTATGTAATGGCGTTAACCTGTTTCTCATTGGGTATAGAAATGTAGATATAGGTATCCGTGTACACGAGCACCTATATTCTCTATCTCAGTCCAAGAATCTCCTATCATAACAAAGCAAAACTTGTTTTTCAATGAAAATCATTTTAAAGAAAAATCGATGAAATGTGGATTACACTCCAGATGTAAAGATTAAGTTTCTTGTGACCAACCTGGTGACTCTATAGGTAAATGTACAGGTAAATGGGCCTCCTCTACTATTTAACATACAGTAACGGTTTATTGGCGATGGCTATGGGTCAATATGAAAACGCAATGGTCCGCGTAACATTAAACTCAATAGTGTGTGTGCTTTTGTAACTAGTTTCACTGTATGCTGTTCAGGTTTTAAAGCATGACTACCAGTATCTACACGACGAGGAGGAGTGATGACTCGTTTGACTTGATTTTACTGATCAACCTATGCGTGTCTATCCCATGACCTTGGTAAATTGACCATGGCGAGATATCAGGGTTGTGTGGCAGTGAAATCCACGAAGAGTACAAATAAATTTATGATAAATTGTCGGCTATTTAAAACACACGTTTTCATTTTCACGGAAGTTTGAACAAGCAGTTTGCCCTCGTCACTGCTTTTAAGGGAAAAAAACTTCATGCCACATAAGGTGGGTGTTTGATGGAAAATGTATTAGAAAAGGTGAATATTTGAATCGGGAGCATTTGGAGACATGACTTTCAAGGCAAGGTACATACAGAGTTTATTTTGAATGCCTCTTTGAACATGTACCATACATACACAGAGGCATTTCAAATAAATCCTGTAGAGATTTACTTGTCCAACATAAAAATGCCACTTAAAAATATAAATATATTTTTTACTGAATTATCAGTATAAAGAAGATTGGTATGCCATATTGTCCGTTTACATATATGTTTTGTCATCTACCATAGTCAGTGTCGATATAGGCGGGAAAAGATATAGGTCTTTATATCTTTTCAATTGCTACTGACTGACCTTTGACCCCTGTTGACATGACGACGCCCCCTGGCTACTGTCTGGCACAACGCCCAGTCCTTGTTACTGTAGTTAGGTAATAGTGGCATTGATCATTCGGGAAACCATCTAGACATGTCACTATATAATGTTTGCGAGAATGGTCATTGAAATTTGACTGTCTTGATGGTAAAACAAGGCGTAATGTACGCCAAGTGTAATGGTTCGTCATGTCTAATAACTGCCTTTCTGTCATATTTATCTTTTTACTCGAAAGGCTTGATTACAAATCTCAAAATTTCAACAATAAGAAACATTCTGTCTGGAAAATTAAGTTTTGCTACCTTACAGACGTGTTTTCAAACGATTGTATTCAAAATAATATTCACATCTAAGCAATGGTATTTAATACAACAACTGTTTTCAGAAGCAAACAGGATTACGTTAATAAGAAGGAGTTAAGGTGATTGGAATTAGCACTTTATCATGATACTGAAAACAAATATTATGTAGCACAATTTACCAGCTGAAGAACCCACACTATGGACTGTTTCAAGTATATAAAACGTATATTATATCGCTGTTCTAACATTTGCACACCTGAAGAATGGAAAATCAAATTCCAAAAATGATAATTTATTAGCAGCTAACTATAACATGTAATAATACGCTATTATCCATACAGGTTAACAGCTAAGCTTTTCGATTGATAAGAAATAACAACTCATAAACTACTGAAGAACACACTTTTGGAAAAGAGTCACTTTGAAGTTTCTTATTATTATTGCGTTCCCTATAGGAACATATGTCCATAGACAGTTAGTACTGAAGAACAAATACCAAAATATTACAAAAGAAAGAATACATTATTTTGACAATTAGACTCCACGCGAGCGTTGATTAATAACCAATACTACACTATTGCTTCCATATCAACGCTGTTTCACATAATTATATGCACCTATCGACGTCTAGTATGATACATCTGTAACTATACATTTCTAAATCCACGATGGAAAGTGCATACAATGAAAACGTCAGAGTTAAAATTATTCTGGAACGTGACGTAATTTCGGTCCGATATGTGACGTCATAACATTGACATTATTTTATCAGCGGAAACAAACCGTCAATACAGTCGAAAACTGACTGCCTTATCCCATTACTTCTTGGCAATAAAGTAAGTTTAAACTTAAACAAACTGCTTTACAGTTTTAAGAATTAATATGCCATTATTTGTCTGTTTTATTAATACATGTAG